ACTTGCATTTCCCTGTGATCAGCGTGTCATTGGACACTGCTGATCACGTGGTAAAAGGCCGCTGTGATTGGCCTTTTACCACATCACGTGATCAGCTGTGTCCGTAGGACACAGCAATCACGGAGATCGCCGGAGAGCGCGTTCTGGGAGGACGTCATATGACGTCCACCCAGAACTGGCCGGCCGAAGTGAAGCCGTCATTCGGCTATCTGCGGTCAGCAGCTGGTTAAATAGGAGTCAGTATACACCTGCCATCATTTAAAGTGCCTCTGATTACCCCAAATAAAGTTCAACAGTTCTAGTAGGTCTCTCCTGACATTTTCTTAGTCACATCCTACAGCAAAAGCCATGGTCTGCAGAGAGCTTCCAAAGCATCAGAGGAATCTCATTGTTAAAAGGTGTCAGTCAGGAGAAGGGCACAAAAAAACTCCAAGGCATTAGATATACCATGAAACACAGTGTAGACAGTCATCAGCAAGTGAAGAAAATATGGGGCAACAGTGACCAAGAACTGGATGTCCCTCCAAAATTGATGAAAAGACGAGAAGAAAACTGGTCTGGGAGGCTGCCAAGAGGCCTAGAGCAACGTTAAACACTTCAATACTGGGCACTTTTAAAGGAGCTGCAGGAATATCTGCAAGTACTGGCTGTGGCGTGGCACTGGCTTTGCAAAAAGACATCTGAAGTCTCCCAAAAGCATGTGGGAAAATGTGTTAAAGTCTGATGAAACCAAAGTTGAACTTCTTGGCCATAATTCCAAAAGATATTCTTGGCGCAAAAACAACACTGTACATCGCCAAAAGAACACCATACCTACAGTGAAGCATGGTGGTGGCAGCATCATGCTTTGGGGCTGTTTTTCTTCAGCTGGAACTGGGGCCTTAGTCAAGGTGGAGGGAATTATGAACAGTTCCAAATACCGATCAATATTGGCACAAAACCTTCAGGCTTCTGCTAGAAAACTGAACATGAAGAGGAACTTTCAGCATGACAACAACCCAAAGCATATATTCAAATCAACAAAGGAATGGCTTCACCAGAAGAAGATTAAAGTTTTGGAATGGCCCAGCCAGAGCCCAGACCTGAATCTGATCCAAAATCTGTGGGGTGATCTGAAGAGGGCTGTGCACAGGAGATGCCCTCGCAATCTGACAGATTTGGAGTGTTTTTGCAAGGAAGAGTGAGCAAATATTGCCAAGTCAAGATGTGCCATACTGATAGACTCATACTCAAAAAGACTGAGAGCTGGAATAAAATAAAAAGGTGCTTCAACAAAGTAATAGTTTAAGGGTGTGCACACTTATGCAACCATATTATTTTAGGTCTTTATTTTTACTTCCCTCCACCGAAAAGATTTCAGTTTGTTCTTCAACTGAGTTGTGCAGTTTTTAGGTAACATTAAAGGTGGAAAAAGTTCTGAAATGATTTATCTTTTGTCTCCTTTTTTTACATCACAGAAACCTGACATTTTAACAGGGATGTATAGACTTTTTATATCCACTGTATATACATATATTATTTTTTCCATTGTGTGTATATATTTCTGTTTACACCACAGTTATTTTACTGCACTGTTTTAAAATTGTATGGAAAAAATAAACTCTTTATATACTAGCACAATATAAGCATGCAGCTGGTATTAAAAGCATGCGACAGCCATGTCTTGGTCCGTTGCCTTCATGGGTTCAGGTAGACCTATTGCACATCACATAGAAGTGGTTTTTTTTAATTCTCTTATCTACTTGTAAATCCCACCATACACAACTCAAACTGACTGTAAATATTTTGACTATTTTCTTTAGATTTACCAAAACTATGTAACACATTGACCTGTCTAAAAGATGCAATAAATTTGTGTCCAACTAGACAACCCCTTACAATTCATACTTGTATGTGCATCTAAAGGAGATTGTGTAGTCAGATGGTAATGTTTGTGGTGAGCCTTAGGTTTATGGAAGATGGCATGAACTTTTCCAAAAAATTCTAAAATTATCAAAAGCTACCTTTGTGAAAATTATAAAGAGTTGTTTTGTAAATCATTCATATAATGAGCAATTTTAGTCTTGGCTGTGTGCAGTGCATACTCACATGGTGACTGCTTGTTAAAAATTCAGCTGTACAAAAACTAGGTCTGTCTTAGTGCAAAACCCAATTAATAATTTCCTTGGACGGAGCTTTAACTTTATCCTAGTCCATGTCCCTCACTGATAAAGTCATAAGCTATAAAGTATAATATATTGAACACTTATCACTGCTCAGGAAACAAACAAGATAATGTTTCATGAATGCCAGATAATCACAAAGATAACTCTAGAAATGACCATGGAAAACAGAGAAAGGCTGTGAAAGGTACTATAAATGAAACAACAAAATGTTAGTGCCAATAGGAAAAGCTGCTGTAGAATCAGCTGTTTTATGTATTTAGTGTGTTGTCTGAAAACGGGCTTCCATTTTGCTGCAGACTCAAATCTTTGTGGAGCTTACCTTATTTTTTCAAATATATTTAAAAAAAAAACAGATCCAGATAATGAGCTATTTATATTTCAATTTAGTATTTTTTTTAACTTTTAAAGATTAATTCAAAAGATATCCATGAATACAATTCTGTTCAACTGAGTTCAATTACAAAACACTACTCAGGTGGTAAATAGTCCCCACTAGGATAGTTAAAATGTGCCCACAAATTTCACTTTACTGCATGTACCGTATAGTTGCAGTGTCCCATAATAGATTTTAGATCAGAATTTTAAACTTACTTTGCTTGATTAAGGGATTGAATATAGCTAGGTCCCCAGAAACTGCACTTTTCCAAAAAGTTGACAGCAATGTCCCAAAACATTTAAAAAGATTATTATTCTATATGACTTTGGTGGCTACAATTTGCAATTGTCATGAGTTGGAAACAGTCAATGGATCCTCTTGACTTGATGAAAACTAAATTGGATTATGATTAATAACAAACTCACCAGCATACTAATAACCACTTTCCTTCTGGAAGATATACCCTCCTTCATGACCAGGCCATTTTTTGCTATACAGTGCTGCATTAATTTAACTGACAATTGCACAGTCATGCAAAGCTGTATATAAATGAAATTTATATAATTTTTTTCCCACAAATAGAGCTTTCTTTTGGTGGTATTCGTTCACCGCTGGGTTTTTTATTTTTTGCGCTATAAACAAAAAAAGACCGACAATTTTGAAAAGAAAAATAAACAATATTTTTCATTTTTGCTATTAAACATATCCAATAAAAAAAATCAAAAAAAATCTAATTTCTTCCTAAATTTAGACCAATATTTATTCTGCTACATTTTTTGGTAAAAAATTCTCAGTAAGTGTATACTATATTGATTGGCTTGTGTACAATTTATAGGCTCTACAAACTATAGTATATATCCTGGAATTTTTATTTATTTTTTTATACTAGTAATGATGGCGATCAGCAACTTATAATGGGACTGCAATATTGCGGTGGACAGTCTGACATTAACTGACACTTTGTGGGAAACAGTGACAGTAATAAAGTGATCAGTGCTAAAAACATACATTGTCACTGTGTAATGACACTGGCTGTGACGGGGTTAAACATTCAGGGCAATCAAAGGGTTAACTGTGCGCCTAACCAATGTTTTTGTGTGTACTATGTGCTGTTTCTACTTGGAAGTGTGCTGGACATTATTCCCTTTGCAGGGAAAGAAAATTCTGTAGATCGCCCTTGACAGGACACAGCTCTGCCTTGTTTACATAGGCAGAGCTGTGTTCTGTCACTCTCCTCGCCGATCGGTGTGTGTGCCGGTGCTTATCCACTGGCCAGCACATGCTGAACTATACAAAACGGAAGCTGTAGCAGTTTATCTGCTATAGGGCAGTCTTAAAGTGGTTCGGAATTTAATAAAACGCGGGACTCATGGATCCGATACATATCAGGGGACTTGTGAGACCTTGAGGTAAATGTTCTTTCCCAGTTAGTATATTTCTTCCTCTGCTCTCTCTCTCTTTTCCTTCCATTTGTTTCCTATATTTTCTTTCTTTCTTTTTTCTCTTAAGAAGTGACTAAAATTGTTAAATATGATTTAATTTGCCTTCTTTTACCTGCTCTTTTACCTGCTCACCAATACTGTGGAAATAGGATGCTAAAAGTTTGTCCTGTACGAATTTTGAATAAGGTAACTATTTGTTTTTATTAGGACAAGTCTATCATTAATACTTGTTGAATGGTACATTACTATAACAATAGTGACTGAATGTCAATCTCTCTTTCTTTTACTGGATACCTGTTTTGAAAATCTTCAATAAACAGATGAAAAATAAAGATGAATTCCAAGTTTGGATATTTTATATATAGTTATATATATATATAGTTGGACCAATGTATCTTTGTATATACCATACCTGGCTGATGCCCTGGAAGCTGGAAATCACTGAAGTAGTCACTGCTACTAGCGTGCTTCCTGGTCCCTTCGTCAGTGTCTGTTCTGTTGCATTCTGAACAAAGGAAATCAGTCGCTCATTATGGGTGTTATTCAGAGAACACTTTACATTTTCTGAATGAATGCAAAGCATTCTCTGTTAGGACAAGGCGGAGAGCATGAGGTCATTGTACCTCCTCTCCACTTTGTCCAATTAGAGATTATTTTCCATTCATTCAGAAAATCCAAAATTTTCTCTGAATTGCCCCTATGCAGAGCAGCCACCCTCCTGTGTTCAGAATTCAGCAGGACAGCTGGAATTCTTATTTAAGTCAACAGCTATGGGCATGAAGTATGCTATTTTGTAATATTTTGGCAACACCCTATTTTGGCATCTTGGTAGCATTGGCATTAAAGAGTAGCAAAACAATACAGCATTTGACATTTGGTCCATAAAAAAGTATACACGCACTTATTTAGAGCAAACAACGAATATATGAGTGCTGTATATTGTTATTGCTTGATCAACCCATGCTAGAAGAAAGCATGTACAATAGTAAAATCTAAAAATAATGACTGTTTCAAATATTAAAACAAAGAATAATATGTGCCAATTAGGACTGAGAAGCTCAGGTTTATCCACAGAGTTCCAGAGAAAATTATTGATGCACTGTTGAAATATTTTTCATTAAGATATTCTATAATGGATAAAATTGCGACTGTGGTTTCTTCACAGGTTGGTTTGATCTGATCTGCTGGAAGTATAAAACCATCTGTCCCGTTATCTCTTAACTCAAACGTATATGAAAGAGGAATTCCAAGGTCAGTAGCCCAGTCCCTTGAAGAACCAGAGTTGTTATCTGTTAATAAATGAACAGAAAAAAAATATAGCCTGATTACTGGCAGTCAAAAGCCTACTAGGTAATATATTATTTTCACTTAACTTTTATTAAACCCAAAACAAAAATGTTATGTATTGCAGCTTATCAATTCTTAGGTGTAGTTGCTGCATTAGTTTCCACTTCAGGACGTTTTCCTTTTATTTTCACCTGGTGATCCTGCCAGTAAGTCTGTTAATTTTCAACTTCCTTTAACAGACCAAGCTGTCCAGAAAAAGTGGTAGTTGGGGGATTGACGCTAACCATTTAACACTTACAGGGATTCCTATAAAGATCAGCTTTTATTGATATATATATATATATATATATATATATATATATATATATAAAACCTTTACCCCAAAAGAAAAGAAAAATGTTGCTGTAACTGCAAATAAAGGTGTTAGCTGGAATTTGGATTTGTTTTGTTATTCAAGTCCTTCTGTTAGTGCAGTGGTGGGCAACCTTTTTTTTCAACTGAGCCAAATCTTGCCAAAACCACGATTGAAATTTATTTTGAGAGCCACATTTTTAAAACTGAAAATACATAGGATGGTACACTGTTTTTAGTTTCAATAAGTTTTTATAGTAATTCATCCCCCATAGTAATTCATCCCCCATAGTAATTCATCCCCCATATAGTAATTCATCCCCCATATAGTAATTCATCCCCCATATAGTAATTCATCCCCCATATAGTAATTCATCCCCCATATAGTAATTCATCCCCCATATAGTAATTCATCCCCCATATAGTAATTCATCCCCCATATAGTAATTCATCCCCCATAGTAATTCATCCCCCATATAGTAATTCATCCCCCATAGTAATTCATCCCCCATATAGTAATTCATCCCCCATATAGTAATTCATCCCCCATAGTAATTCACCCCCCTATAGTAATTCATCCCCCCTATAGTAATTCATCCCCCCTATAGTAATTCACCCCCCATATTAATTCATCCCTCATATAGTAGTAGTAAGTAAGTAGCAAGTAGTAAGCCAAGTCCCCCCTGTGTCAATTCACTTACCTTTGCTCCGCGCGTTCCTCTCGCCGCTGTTCCCGCGCCGTTCCGGTCTTCAGGGCGGACTGTGAGAGGAGCCTAGCTCCTCTCACGTTCGTCACGCTGCCCCGCCTACACACATCCTGACAGCCAATCACTGGCTATCAGGATGTGAGTGGCAGCGAGACTGGCCAATCATTGCATTTGAGCGCGCTGCCCTGGCTGTTTTTTTTTTGGATCACGCTGCAGAGTCCCTGCCGCCGAGAGAGGAGGGAGGGAGGGGAGCGGGCGCCCGGCACACAAGAGCCGCATTAAAAGGGTGTAAAGAGCCGCATGTGGCTCGCGAGCCGCGGCTTGCCGGCCACTGTGTTAGTGCATTTAGGATTCCATTTACTACTACTGAGCATGTTGTAGCTTTAAGTTCCAAAATCTCAACATCTGAAATTTCATGGTTTTTAATTGTGTCTGTTCACACCTGATTGTAGTGTCACTTGCAGTTTGAAGCTTGTAGTCTAAAAAGGTACATCAGTTCTTTTGAGCTACATGAGTCAAGAGTTTTTTTGAACCCAATAAACTTCAATGAGGTGTCAAAAACACACAGGGAAAAACATGTGGAAATGAACATATTTTTTTCACTAGTAATTGGCTAAAAGTAATATACAGTGGGGCAGAAAAGTATTTAGTCAGCCACCAATTGTGCACGTTCTCCCACTTAAAAAGATGAGAGAGGCCTGTAATTGGCATCATAGGTAGACCTCAACTATGAGAGACAAAATGAGAAAAAAAATCCAGACAATCACATTGGTTTATTTGGAAAGAATTTATTTGCAAATTATGGTGGAAAATAAGTATTTGGTCACCTACAAACAAGCAAGATTTCTGGCTCTCACAGACCTGTACCTTCTTCTTTAAGAGGCTCCTCTGTCCTGCACTCATTACCTGTATCAATGGCACCTGTTTGAACTTGTTATCAGTATAAAAGACACCTGTCCACAACCTCAAACAGTCACACTCCAAACTCTACTATGGTGAAGACCAAAGAGCTGTTGAAGGACACCAGAAACAAAATTGTAGACCTGCACCAGGCTGGGAAGACTGAATCTGCAATAGGCAAGCAGCTTGGTGTGAACAAATCAAACTCAGATCCTGCAGTGCCAGAAGTGTCCCCCTGCTTAAGCCAGTATAGATCTCAACCCCATAGAAATCCTTTGGAGGGAGTTGAAAGTCCGTGTTGCCCGGCGACAGCACCAAAACATCACTGCTCTAGAGGAGATCTGCATGGAGGAATGGGCCAACATACCAGCAACAGTGTGTGCCAACCTTGTGAAGACTTACAGGAAACGTCTGACCTCTGTCATTGCCAACAAAGGATATATAACAAAGTATTGAGATGAACTTTTCACATTGACCAAATACTTATTTTCCACCATAATTTGCAAATAAATTCTTTCCAAATCAGCCAATGTGATTGTCTGGATTTGTTTTCTCATTTTGTCTCTCATAGTTGAGGTCTACCTATGATGCCAATTACAGGCCTCTCTCATCTTTTTAAGTGGGAGAACTTGCACAATTAGTGGCTGACTAAATACTTTTTTGCCCCACTGTACAAAAATACTCAAGCATGAGACACCAGAAAAAAACACCTCCACAAATTCTCAAAAAAAAAAAAAGCCTGCACAATGATGGAAGACGCTCAGCTCTAATGTTAATGCATCCTAACACTACCCTCTCCCCAGACTGACAATTCTGCTATCCAAAGCGGTCTCTGTTGCATCTATAGTGGAGTAGAGACACACTAAGACATGAAGTCTGTTACTGGTCATATCACTAGGTGAAAAAGCCTCAACAAAATAAACAAACAAATGCAGTTACCACATTTAAAGTATGTGTAAAACAACCCATTCAGTTTAAAATAGAAAAGAAAGGCAAAACATTTTTGTATAGATAGTATAAATATAAAAAAATAATACCCTCTAAGCTCCTTATGTAGCTAAGAACAGAGAGCTGGGGAAGGAGAAACAGCAGCACACCGAACTTTGCAATGAATGACTGCGTAGGGGGGTGGGCATGTCAGTACAAGTCTGATCATTGGAGGAGAGCACATACTGAGCTCCCAGCACAGCTAGAGAAGTAATCATGCTGTGCTCTCCTGCCTAGTGTAGTCAGATTTTAATAGGAAAGCAGAGGGACTGCCAGGAACACCAGGGATTTCGCACAAAAGAAGCAATACAAAGGGAACAGAATATTTTTTTCATGATTGGATAATTGAAGTGAATACCAAAAAGCATGTATAAATTGGTCTTTTTTCTGCTGTCACTTTTCTCTGTTTCTATGAACATACTCAAATCCTTTGGTAAATCGGCCTTCCTATATATCGGCAATATTTATAGGTGGTTGTAACTGTGGGTTTAGAACAGGTGACAAAACAGAAATTATATTTTGAATGCAGGGATTTGTGGGGCGGGTTTACCTTTAGTTCAGTGTTGTCTGCCATGTCTGGGCTCGCTTATGCTGCCTGTATGTTAAACTTTGCTTTTTACTTTTCAATCAGCTGTCAGTATTGCCCTGCAGTTACCTGCAGTGAGGGGTCAGTGTGATGCACATTTTACTGATTGAATTTTTTCAGTTTTTCATTTTTTTAAAAACTTTATTTGAATAGCAAAAAGTGACACTTCAGTTATGTCTTCTCACAACAGCATGGTGTGTTGTGCAGCAGTGTTGTGATGTGCGTTGCTATCCATAGCGCTGCAGAAGTATGCAGAATGTCTGCATTTTTAAACACTTCACCGTACCGCACATCACACGAATGTTGTGCTGAAAATGGGACACAGAAAAATGTTTAAAACTACACTGCTCAAAAAAAGTTAAAGGAACACTTTTTAATCAGAGTATAGCATCAAGTCAATTAAACTCCTGGGATATTGATCTGGTCAGTTAAGTAGCAGAGGGGGTTGTTAATCAATTTCAGCTGCTTTGGTATTAATTAAACAACAGGTGCACTAGATGGGCAACAATGAGATGACCCCCAAAACATGAGTGATTTTACAGGTGGAAGTCACTGACATTGTTTTCCCTACTCATCTTTTCTGGCTGTTATTTGCTAGTTTTGCATTTGGCTAGGGTCAGTGTCACTACTGGTAGCATGAGGTGATACCTGGATCCTACAGAGGTTGCTCAGGCAGTCCAGCTCCTCCACGATTGCAGATCAATACATGCCATTGCCAGATGGTTTTCTGTGTCTCCCAGCACAATCTCAAGAGCATGGAGGAGATTCCAGGATACAGGCAGTTACTCTAAGTGAGCTGGACAGGGCCGTAAAAGGTCCTTAACCATCAGCAGGACCAGTATCTGCTCCTTTGTGCAAGGAGGAACAGGATGTACACTATCAGAACCCTACTAAATGACCTCCAGCAGGTCACTGGTGTAAATGTCTCTGACCAAACAATAGGAAACAGACTTCATGCGGGTGGCCTGAGGGCCCGACATCCTCTAGTGGGTCCTGTGCTCACTGTCTGGCACCACAGAGCTCGATTGGCATTTGCCATTGAACACCGGAATTGGCAGGTCCACCACTGGCACCCAGTGTTTTTTCACGGATGAGAGCAGGTTCACCCTGATCACATGTGACAGAAGTGAAAGGGTCTGGAGAAGTCGTGGAGAATGTTATGCTCCCTATAACACCATTCAGCATGACCATTTTGGTGGTGAGTCAATGATGGTCTGGGCAGGCATATCCATGGAGGGACGCACAGACCTCTACAGGCTAGACAATGGCACCCTGACTGCCATTAGGTATCAGGATGAAATCCTTGGACCCATTGCCAGACCCTATGCTGGTGAAGTGGGTCCCGGGTTCCTCCTGGTGCATGAAAATGCCCGGCCTCATGTGGCGAGAGTATGGAGTTCCTGGAGGATGAAGGAATTGATACCATTGAATGGACCCAACGCTCGCCTGACCTAAATCCAATAGAACACCTCTGGGATATCATGTTTTGGCACATCTGATGCCACCAGGTTGCACCTCAGACTGTCCAGGAGCTCAGTGATGATGGTCCAGATCTGGGAGGAAATACCTCGGAACACCATCAGTCATCTCATTAAGAGCATGCCCCGACGTAGTCAGGCATTCATACAAGCACATGAGGGCCATACAAACTACTGAGTAACATTTTCAGCTGCTGCAATGAAATTTCAGCAAAATGGACTAGCCTGCTGCATCATTTTTTCACTTTGATTTTCGGGGTGTCTTTGAATTCAGTCCTCTGAAGGTTGATAATTTTTATTTCCGTCAAATGATGGGGCATCTTTAAGTTCCTAACACATTACCTAGTCCATATCAGTACAGATATGCAGCATGATATTTTTCTCCATTGAGATCTAATGTGTTTTCAAAGTGTTCCTTTAATTTGTTTGAGCACTGTACATAGAATGAATAAGACCTAAGGCGCAATCAACTGGATTTGTTGTGAAATGTTGCACGTTTCACAATTTATTCAGCCTTCAGTTTAAATGAATGTTAGGAACATACCCCAACATTTCTTCAAAATAAACCAATTTGGCTTCTTGTGCTACATTCCTACTCAAAAGACTTAAAACCTGTTTGACTTGGTAGGACTTTAAAGGCACAACAAAACTGACAATTAAAAATTATAGAGTTTATTTATATATCAAAAGTCTTTTCTTTAAAAAAATATTTTCCATTTACATATTGGATAACATCTTGTTAGAGTAGGTAATTTCTCTATCAACCATCCCCACATTACATTGAATGCATTTTAGTCAAGCATTGCATATGTACAAACTGGCATATTCAGATGTTTTTTTCCATAAGATTGATGCATTTTCTGGAATGTAGCCACTTCATCAGGAGCTATAAATGGGATAGATGAACATTGCTAGGTACAAAACTGAATGAGATTACAACATATTAATATATGTAATTACAAACATATAAATTGTAAAATTGTTGTTAGAAAATACTTTTGATGTATAAACTATAAAATGTTTCATTGTCAGTTTTGTTGTGTGCATTTAAATTCCCCCCATGTCAAACAAGTTTTAAGTCCCCCCCCAGTATTTATTGTCTACCATATTGTTATAACATTATGCAATATTACAGCTCTTAAAATAACTTTGTAATCATATTCAAATGCTTTGTATGCTAGTGTTAGCATGCACAGATAATACGCCAGAACTTATAACATCAGACTTACATAATATGTGAGATGCTGATCCAACTCTATATTTTGTGCCATGTATCTGTGTCAGTCTGGCAGCAGCCTTCTCCCCAATGGACAGCTGCAAAATAAACATTGGAAAAAAACATTTTGATATGAGTACCTGAGAGCCAAAAAAAAGAACCACATTTGCAAGACTGGGCCAAGTTTTGACACTTTCACCCTAACATGATCATGTTAATATAAGCACAATATAGGCTTCCAAAAGAATAAAAAACAACTAACATAAAATATTTAATCTTGATTACTGATCTTCTCATTTCCTTACTGCCACTGTTTGAACCAGATTAGTCATTGAAGCCTTTAGATGGTTAACACCCTTGAGATCATGCATTCATATGAATGAGCCTAGCTATGTAGGACTAGCTAATTATAACATGGCTTGCAATTAATTAACTGCTTTATATTTTACAGAATACATCATTTTGATGTATTTCACAAGAATGGACCCACTCTGTACACACTGTACTTTTTTGCATTAATTTACTAAACGCAAGTAGTCTGTTCATTTTGCTAGGGATTTTCACTTGGCAAGGCTATTTTCCCTTCAGCTTAGTGAATGTTGTGAAAATTCACTTTGCTAAGACTACCCAATCATGTGCAAATAAAATGTAGTATTTTGCTTGCTTCTGATTGGATGATGGAAGTCAGCAGAGCTTCAAGTCATTCACTAAGCTAAGGTAAAAATTCTCTTGCAAAGTGAACAGCCTATTTTATTTTAGTAAATAAACCCTTGTATGTAAACAAGGGATACAAGCCCTTTAACTGCATACAAATATCTGAGATTGAAAAGGAGTACAAATGCCATCTAACAAAATATATGAATAATATTACTTCATGACGATGTAAGGCCTTGTTCTGGGTGAACTTCATTTAACACCTTCCCGCCCAGCCTATAGCAGATTGATGGCCGGGTGGGACACTTGCCATTGTGACTGGGCGTAATATGACGTCCTGTCAAAACAAGCCTTTCACGCGGCGTTACCTGTCACTGGCTATGTCCACGGGACACAGCCGATGACATATCACTACATCAGCCCATTGCCAGTGTCATGTGACCGTTGTGACCAATCACAGCAGATCAGATATCAATTGTATACAATGGATGACTTCCTGTCATGCCATCCATTGTATACAATTATGTTGTTAGCTGTGACTGGTCAAGGCAGTCACATGATACAGACAGGGCCAATCACAGCCCATCTGTATCATGTGATCAGCTTTGCCCAATCACAGCTTGTCACAACAAAAGACTGAATGAATCCATTTTATTCAGTAGCAATGATTGCAAATATCAATTAAATACATTGGTATTAGCAATCATAATGTATTAAAAAAATCCTGATCACTTGCCCAGAGTAGTTCAGTGTTACTATGGTAACATTGTATTGCTTTGGTCACAGTGTGCTGAAAAATAAAATAGTAAAAAAAAGAAAAAATGTAATAAAAAATAAAAAAAATATTATAAAAATTAAAAAAAAAAATACAAATTCAATTATTATTTCACCAAAGAAATGTAGCAGAATACATTTTGACCTAAATTTGTGAAGAAATGCTATTTATTTGCAAAATTTTATAACCGAATCGAAGAAAAGTGCGTTTTTTTTTCAAAAGTTTCAGGTGTTTTTTGTTTTATTTAGCAAAAAATAAAAAAAATCTGTGGTGATTAAATACCACCAAAAGAAAGCTCTATTTGTGTGAAAAAAAAATTATAAAAATTTCATACGGGTACAGTGTTGCATGACCGCGCAATTGTCATTCAAAGTGCAACAGCTCTGAAAGCTGGAAATTGACCTGGGCAGGAAGGGGGTATAAGTGCTCGGTATTGAAGTGGTTTAGTATTATAACTTGTGTATTTATTTTTGGATAGTATAAAGAAAGGATGGCCGGCCTACTGAGAACACAGGTCCAACTAACATATAACCTCTGTTGCCAATATTCCTACTCACCCGATTTAAATAATGTATAAGTCTCTGATATATTTTTGTACTGCCTTAATAAAAATAACATTCAATAGTCAAGTTCCTAATTTATTGCAAAATACATTTAATGGTAATATATTACATTTTTAGAAATGTGTTATTCTGTTCTATGTGTCACAGGCCAACAAGCTAATCTTTCTCTAGCTATAAAAGTGCACAAATCTTTCACTGTACAATAAAAGGATCTAGGATATTACCATTTCTTCATGGTTAACAGAGGGATTTCGGGTATAGCCATATGGGAGAAGAATGAGTTGTCCATAGGAATGAATTGTCAGGAAACCCAAGATGTCAGATTTCAGCCTGTTCATCAGTTGTTGCACAGCATGGACCTCTGGTTCGGAGGCTGGGCCAGTTCCACAGAATGTAAGGCTGCTACAGTTTGTGGATGCACCAATAGCTACAAGGCAATAATTTAAAACAGAATTAAACCAGTTAAAGCATCTCAGTAAAGACTTATGTGGCATATTAAGTAAAATGTATGGTTAAGCACAGGCATTGTTTTAGAGATAAACGCCCTCTTCAATAGTCATTACCAATGCCTGTGAAGTCATTGTTGGTGTCTATGACCATTGTTTTGGGTTGAATCAATGTCAGCCCATTTGAAGTGTGCAAAAACCTCTACATTTTATCTTTCTGTATAGAAAGGCTGCCCAAGTGTTCATGACAGTTATATAATGTACAATTGTGCATTATTTTACTGAGATGCTGCGGATATATTTTGAGGAATATAAACACAATAAAAAACAAAACTGTGTTTTTCTCTGGAGTGGTATTTTGTGTAGTCTAGTCCCCCAAAGCATCCAATATAATTACAGAGCCATGATTTAGTTGTCACCATAGTGCTTCCAGCATATAGTGTAATGAGAGCCATTTCTTCATAGATATTTTCCAAATGTGCTGCAAAGCTGATTTACTACTTGTGTCTACTAATATTTTGATAATGTGAAATGGTTCTTCTTACTGAGCAATTATTGCGTCAGTCAGACCATCATTGTGGAGAATCTGGGAGACTGCTCTTCATACCATGATGTACCCTTTGTAAAGAGATCCTGTTACTTCATCCAGTATAGGTAAAATACAGGTTCACTTTATTTTTATTCTGAAGCTAAAGTATGGTAGAGCTGTAACTATTTAAACAGGTGACAATTAAAGTAAAATCATTCTTGAGAGCATCAAAACTCACAAAGAGGGTAAATCTGACCTTATATGTTACAGGTAGGTCCTTACATAGTTTTACATATTTTAAAAGAGATTGAAATACACTTGTATGTCAACACAGTTCCTTCTGGGAATGGTTTCTAGATTCTTTAGTCCAGTATATTAAAGTCACTTCTTGTTTTGTTTAGTGTTTTTATCATCTCCTCACCTGAAAAATAATCAGTACTATTTTTTATCTAAATTGGAGTTCATATTTAAAGTCAATCTCTGGGCAAAGCTCTATACACTCCTATACCTCCTACCCCATTCTGACCCATTCATTTGTTAAACTTCTGAAGATTTTTTTACTTATCTAACTCCATTATCTAACACCATTCATGTTCCTCACTGGTGCTCCTTCTAAAAGTGATAACATGTGATCCAGTGCTGTGTTCTTTTTTCTGTGATGACCAGTTGCCTCATCATGACATATTCACACCTCTGCAATCTCCTGCATCTTAAGAGAGCCCCACTGATGGACAGTAAACAGGAAATGCCCACATAATTCAGGCAAACATGTGAACACCTGGAGAAAAAAAAATCTCTGCAGTGACGACGACTTGTGATAACCACTGATTTAGGTAAGTAAAGGAACTTTTAGATTTCTTTTTCTTTAAATAATTTACTAATTATTAGGGGGAGGAACAAAGGGTTCGGGGGAGGGGGTGGGGGTGGGGTAAAGTGTATGGACAGAGAAAACCTTTCAAACCACGGTTAATACATTTTTTTTTACATTCCCATAGAAATAAACATTGGCCCTTTCTATGAACTTACAGCACCATTTTGAATCAAAGTTTCGATTGAGGTCAACTCCAAAGCAAGTTCTATTGTTATGGGGTGACCGTGATTTTCTCCAGAGGCGATCCTATGTATTAAAAGCAGGATAAAATAGAGATTGAGAAACAAAAACCATTAAAAGATGCATTACTTAAGCATGGATCAAATGCTTTCAGAATGCATGGAAGCAGTTAATATTATTGAAAATCATTTTACTGTGTTATTTTTTCTTACCGTAGTCCAGGAGTACACAAACCCATCAATATTGAGGACAGGAACAATATAAAAGTCTATATTTTTTGAGGGCTTTATGTATGACTTTATTGCTGTTATGTTGTACAAGTAGCTGAAAAACAAATGTAAAAAGTATATTTTTATATTTTTTATTTGATATCATTACAGACTGTCAGAATAAAAATACAGATACAATTAACACATACTTACATGTATTACACAAGTAGAATATGAATACTAAAGTAAAATATCATATCTGTCTCTGTAGGTATTATGGGGAATTATATGATTGTGTGTATGGACATGTGTGGGAGAAAGTGGAAATATTTCTAGTATACCTTGGCTAGGCTAAACCTGTAAAAGCATACACTATATTGCCAAAAGTATTGGCATGCCTGCCTTTACATGCACATGAACTTTTAATGGCATCCCAGTCTTAGTCCGTTGGGTTCAATATTGAGTTGGCCTACTTTTGCAGCTATGGCAGCTTCAGCTCTTCTAGGAAGGCTGTCCACAAGGTTTAGTAGTGTGTCTATGGGAATATTTGACCATTCTTCCAGAAGCGCATTTGTGAGGTCAGGCACTGATGTCGGACTAGAAGGCCTAGCTCGCAGTCTCCGATCTAATTCCTCCCAAAGGTGTTCTATCAGGCTGAGGTCAGGACTTTGTGCAGGTCAGTCAAGTTCCTCCCCCAAAACTCGCTCATCCATGTCTTTAGAGACCTTGCTTTGTGCACTGGCGCGCAGTCATGTTGGAACAGGAAGGGGCCATCATCAAACTGTTCCCACAAACTTGGGAGCATGACATTGTCCAAAGTGTTTTGGTATGCTGGGCCTGCAGAGTTCCCCTCACTGGAACTAAGGGGCCAATCCCAACCCCTGAAATACAACCTTACACCATAATTCACCCTCCACCAAACTTTACACTTGGCACAATGCAGTTAGGCAAGTACCATTCTCCTGGCAACTGCCAAACCCAGACACGTCCATTGGATTGTCAGACAGAGAAGCATGATTTGTCACTCCAGACAACATATCTCCACTTCTCTAGAGTTCAGTGGCAGCGTGATTTACACCACTGCATCCAACCCTTTGCATTGCACTTGGTGATGTAAGGCATGGATGCAGCTGCTCATCCTTGGAAACCCATTTCATGAAGCATTCTATGCACTGTTGTTGTGCTAATCTGAAGACCACATAACGTTTGGAGGTCTTTAGTTATTGACTCTGTAGACAGTTGACGACTTCTGTGCACTGTGCGCTTCAGCATTTCACGGATGGACTTATTGCACAGGCTGCAACCTATCACGGTACCACGCTTGAATTCACTGAGCTCTTGAGAGCAACCTGTTCTTTCACAAATGTTTGTAGAAGCAATCTGCATGCCTAGGTGCTTGATTTTATACACCTTTGGCCATGGAGGTGATTGGAACACCTGAATCCAAAGATTTGGAGGAGTATTGTCCCAATACTTTTGGCAATATAGTGTATTTTTCAGTCTGTGATAATTGTACAACATTAAAAAGGTATACAAAGTATATACAAAAGTATATAGTTATTTCATCTTTCTAGTGCTCATTTGCCACTCTTCCTTCAGTTGCAATACTCATTGGTTTCAGAGCAAGGTTGTTACACCCTCTGCCTTGGGACATTAGCTGCTAGGCCAGGGGTGGACTGACCATTCAGGCATTGCCCGAAGGCCCAGGGTCAACAGGGGGCCTGGTGAGAGGTTCACTGGGCACAATTCATTAAGCGGTATCTAACAAGTATGCGGTACAATACCGCATAGCATTTAAAAAAAAAATGTTTGAATTCACCAAAAAATGCTACTAATTTGATGTCCCCGGGTGGCCCTGCCCCTACATATTTAAGAACTGTCAAGCCAGCAGAGCAGTCAGACGGCCGGGAGCCAAGGCTGGATAGTGGTACCATGTACCCCATACTCATTCACATGGGGGGGGTGAGATCTGGGGGCCCCCTTGCTAAAAGGGGGCTTCAAAATTCCGATAAGCCCCCCCACCCACAGACCCCCACAACCACCAGCCAGGGTTGTGGGGAAGAGACCCTTGTCCTCATCAACATGGGGACAAGGTGCTTTGGGGGGGAAACCCCCAAAAGCAATCCCCATTTTGAAGGCATGTGGCCTGCTTGGTTCAGGAGAGGGGGGCGCTCACTTGCCCCCCCCCTTTCTTGACCTGCTGGACTGCATGCTCGGATAAGGGCCGGTATGGATCTTAGAGGGGACCGCACGCCATTTTTTGTGTTTTTTTTGGCATAGGGGCTTCCTCAAAACCCTTACCAGACCGCAAGGGCATGAATGGAGGGAGGACCCCACGCCATTATTTTACTTTTTAATTGTCGGCAATTTTTTTTTTTTTACATTCAGCTGTCAGTGGGGAACCCTGCTGACAGCTGATGGCTCATAGGTTGCTATGAACTCCGCGGCCACCCACTCCTTAAGAACCCATGATAGTACTGACAGATACCAATAAATACCGCATGCCTGGACCACTACTTAATTACCGCATGCATTTAATTATTTATTTTCTTTTGTGAATTCACTTTAAGGTCTTTTTATGCATATTTACTGAGTGTTTTTCCTTCCTTCCTTCCTCCATCCATTCCCTCAATCCCTTTTCTTCCTTCCTTCCTTCCTCCATCCCCTCCCTTCATTCTTTCCTCCCTCTCCTCCCTTCATTTCCTTCCTCCCTCCCTTCCTTCTTTCTTTCCTTCCTTCCTTCCTTCCCTTCCTTCCTTCCTTCCTCCATCCATTTCCTTCCTTCCTTCCTTCCTTCCCTCCTCCATCCATTTCCTTCCTTCCTTTCCTCCCCTCCCTCCCCTGCTTTCTTTCCTTCCTTTCCATCCTTCCTTCCCTTCCTCCATCCATTCCCTCCCTCCCTTCCTTCCTTCTTTTCTTCTGATATAAGGGGGTATAGGTTTTGTTTATTCATCCAAATCCATTGACAGCCCAATATACACTAGTGCTCCCTGTTCACTCCCTACTGACACTGTCCACTGCCCCCACAAAATTATGGTGAAGAAAATAATACAAAAATAAATTGTAAAAAATAATTAATAAAATAAATAATAAAAATAAAACAAATCTGACATCCACGCCTTTGCTCTACTGACACCATCCACTGGCCACCCCCAAAAGCATTTTCAAAAAATGATAAAAATAATAAAACATTAAATTGTAAACAAAATTATAAAATTGTAATAATAATAATAATAATAAAGATCTACTGATACCATCCACTGCCCTATTGACACCATCCTGTACATTCTACCCACTGCAATACACTTTACACTCCTCTCCCTGTACATACTACCCACCGCCATACACTCCGCACTCCTCTCCCTGTACATACTACCCACCGCCATACACTCCACACTCCTCTCCCTGTACATACTACCAACTGCCATACACTGCACTCCTCTCCCTGCACATACTACCCACCGCCATACATTCTGCACTCCTTTCCCTGCACATACAACCCGCCGTCATACACTCCGCACTTCTCTCCCTGCACATATTACCCACTGCCATAGACTCCGCACTCCTCTCCCTGCACATACTACCCACCGCTGAGCTGCATTATGTAGGTGGGGTGTTGTGTGGGTGTGGCTTGAGTGTAGGCGGATACACAGGGGGTCCCATTATCTCTTATTGCCCGGGGGCCCATGAGTTGTCAGTCCGCCCCTGGCCTGAGCACTGCATCTTAGGAGTAGCTCACATATTTTCGCATTAGGGCTGCTGAGTCAAATTGATTATACATTGAATTGACTGTTTAGGTAGCTCCTTGCATTATATAGTTTTAAATATTTTAGAAATGATTGAAATACATTTGTATGTCAGCACATGGCCTTCTGGGAATGGTTTCCATTTTTTTTTTGTCTTGTAGCATAAAGTCTTTAGTGATTTTAAAAACTCCTGATTTGAAAACAATATGTCCTACTTTTTTACTAAATAAGAGTTCTTCTACAATCTCCAGGCAAACCTCTTCCCACTCCCATAAACCGTGTTACTATTCTTCAGTTTGTGAGTGAACAGGAAGCCTCTGTACAGAGCACTTCTTGTTCATTCACTCTGAAGTGCAGCTGAGTCTGCTGAGAAAGGATTGGGAATTTGTGCCTTCAATTTCTCTGTCTCAAAAGTGAGATATCAGAAGTCTGTTTAGTTGCCTGATATTTCAACAAAGCCAGGGCTCATTCACAAGGGTGCTCTGGCTGGTTGAATGAGTGGTTTACCTGCCTGTTACCATATGGGGATGCAGCGGCTATACGAACAGCCAGGTTCTAATTTGGTTCTAATTTGAAAGGTGTACAGCTGCAGGTGAGTGGCCCTGAATGCACACTTTCTGCATTTGGGGCCACGCACCTATACCCACAGACCTGTCCAATTTGCACACCAGTCCAGGCAGCTCCAATGAGCCCCCAAGGCTGCATTCACACATAGAGCTTTATTTATTAACGCAATGCAGTTTCTTTTTTAGATTTAGCAGACATTTTGTAAGTTATGTTGTGTTTGTGTCCGTTAATAATGATTCAAGTGCATTTTTAGTGAAAAAATATAATTATGAATTTTTTTGGGGGAGGAGGCTGTCTGGTAGGCTATACAGGGCCCTAAAGCAAAAATGTGGTGCAGCTCAGGCTATACAGGGTTGTGAATGTCTCTGACCAAACAATCAGAAAAAGACTTCATGAGGGTTCTCTTGTGGGCCCTTTGCTCACTGCCCGGCACCACAGAGCTCGATTGGCATTTGCCATTGAACACCAGAATTGGCAGGTCTGCCACTGGTGCCCTGTGCTTTTCACAGATGAGAGCAGGTTCACTATGAGCACATGTGACAGACATGAAAGGGTCTGGAGAAGTCATGGAGAATGTTATTCTGCCTGTAACATCGTTCAGCATGACCATTTTGGTGGTGGGCCAATGATGGTATGGGGAAGCAACTGACAACTCATGAGGCCCCCCGGGCAATAGGGGATCATGGGGCCCCTGTGTCATTGCCCAAACTCAAAAAAGCCTATGATAAAGGTACCAGGGGCATCTCATGGGGCCCCCTACTGACCCCGGGCCCTCGGGCAGTGCCCGAGTTTCCAAATGGTCAGTTGGGCCCTGGGAAGCATATCCATGGAGGGATGCACAGACCTCTACAGGCTAGACAATGGCACCCTGACTGCCATCCATTGTCAGACCCTACACTGGTGCAGGGGATCCTGGGTTCCTCCTGGAACCCAGTTCCCCCTTCGACAATGCCCAGCCTCATGTGGAGAGAGCAGGCAGTTCCTGGAGGATGAAGGAATTGATACCATTGAATAGCCCCCATGCTTGACTGACCTAAATCCAATAGAACATCTCTGGGATATGTTTCGTTGCATCCAACACTGCCAGGCTGCACCTCAGACTGTCCAGGAGCTCAGTGATGCCCTGTTCCAGATCTGGGAGGAAATGCCCCAGGACACCATCTGTCATCTCATTAGGAGCATGTCTCTATGTTGCCAGGCATGTATAAAAGCATGTGGGGGCCATACAAACTACTGAGTACCATTTTGAACTGCTGCAATGAATATTCAGCAAAATGGACTAGCCTGCTGCATAATTTTTTCACGTTGATTTTCAGGGTGTCTTTGAATTCAGTCCTCTGCAGGTTGATAATTTTCATTTCCATCAAACAATGGGGCATTCTTACGTTCCTAACACATTACCCAGTCCCTATCAGTAGTGATATCCAACATGATATTTTTCCCCATTGATATCTGATGTGTTTTCAAAGTGTGCCTTTAATTTTTTGGAGCAGTGTATGTTTAAGTCCCACTATCCCTCAAGTAGCCCACATGTGAGGATTGGGAAACATTGCCAGGTGGGGCAGTGTAAGATTAGCCTACAGGTGAATATGAGGGGACATCTAGAAGGTTGGTGATACTGCACCCTCGCTTGTTGTCACACTACGGTAGTGGTTCTCATCAGACAGTGCAAGTGCAGAAGGGGCCCGCAGTCCTTGAAAGACTAAATTATTAAGAGTAGCCCAAGAGCCAACGATGACTGCTTCCAGCGTACTCGCCGGATTGTTCCTTGGCTGCGAGAACCACAATCGCACTGTAACCAACACAGCTGTACAATAGTAAAAATGAAAGTCAGGCAGAGAGAGTCCCCCCCTGTGAAAGGGAGAGTCTCAGCATTGACTTAGCTAACTGGGGGTCTTGCCAGCCCAAATAAATGAGTCCACAATACCATCCAACTTGGTAAAAAAAATTTGGGTATTCAAACAGGTGTGTTTCTAAAAAAATATAAAAAACTTAGGCAGATACATAATTTTTGAATAGGTTAATTCTTCCTGCGGGTGATAGTGGAAGAGCACTCCAGGTGGTGCATCTCTGAGACAAGGACCGAAGCAAGGGGAGTGAACTGAGATCCACATAGGATGAAAGGATGAAAGAGAATTGCTAATACGGATCCCCAGGTATTTGAAGTCTGTGACCTACTGCAATGGGGTATCGGAACAGGTGGGGCAGCCTTTTGCCAGCATCATGACACTCTGCTTGATACCTGCACTAGTAATTGCAAGGATTCATTCAGTGGACAGCGGAGCTCCTGAATCAGACGTCTTCTCCCAGCTCCATCTTGGACACGTCCAAAGCCCCCCCCCCCCCCGGGTGAGATTCTCTTCAAATAGACATAGGTCAATACAGATATCCTGTTGCCAGTCCAGTCATCTCAACCACAATCTTCTCATAATATTATATGTGCATTTCATGTATTTGCTGAATGTTATTTACTTATCAAAGCCTCCCTTGTGTGGTCACCAAAAATAACTGAGACTTCTGCTCACTTAGATGTGATATCAACAGCCCCGGCAGATTTAGAGCTGTCATTCAAGCTGCTCTCTATAATAATTATCTTTGTTTTTTCCCCAGCAGTGACTTAAGGGCTAGTTCACACTAGATCCCATTCAGTGCGCAGTGTATTCCATGTATTCCAATTGCCCTAGTTCACACTATTGCAGTCAGTTTTTGGTGCAGAAAAAAAGTAGAACATGCTGCATTTTTTTCTGCACAGAACCATGCTGGAACATGGCAAACTGCAAAAAAACTGCACCAGAACTGCTTATACAGAATGTATCTGGAGTGCATTTTTGTAGTGTGAACTGGCCCTAAAAGATTTTGGGAGAGATGACAGGAGGAGTGGAGTGGTGGAGCTTGGCCAGCAGAAACAGCAATCAGACATTCCCAGAGGAGGAGAGGGCTATGGATGGAGAAGGCTGTGTTAATGAATTGACTTTCCTGGATAGGTCACATTTTTTAGCAAGTTTCATTGCAAATGAATACAAAAATAAAGTTAATGCAAAGGAAATCACTGGAAGTATACATTTAAAAAAGCTAACTGCTTTTAAATTATTTTTTTAGGTTGGACACAGGATCTGTTTAACTAGTGAATTCTAACTAACTGAAATCCTAGGAATCTGTATTCCTAATATAATGCACCTACAGAGCAGTTATTTGTTTAATACGTAGAAATAAATAATTAGGTATGCCAGTCAGTTAATGTGATATATTAGATTTACTGAAGGAGTAGAGGCTGTTTAAGTAGAATGTTCACTTAGCTTAGTGAATAAGGTGAAATTGTGTTCACTTTGAATATCCAATCATGTGTTAAAAATGTTTTTGCTTGTACTTGATTGTTTTTTAATGTTAACACAACATCACCTTCTTTAGTAAGTTAAGAGGACTTTTATTTGTAATTTGCACTTAATGACATTATGCAAATTGGTTAACAAACTTAACAGCACAATATCAATATTTTTATCATAATGTGCTTATTCAGCAGAGCAAAAAAAAGAGGACAAAGTGCCAAGGTAGCCGATCACAAGTCACATGTCTCAGATCTGACTTCAAAAAACAATTCTAACTGCTATGGACTGCTTCACTTTGCACATCACCCTTATTTTCTGACAGCTTTGTTGCAGGTTATAAACTGAATTACACACACATATTTCTGTCAAATATATTTGCAGTGTATCTGTGCATAGTATAGTCAGGGCTTTTTTTTCAGCTTGAACATGACGGAACACAGTTCTGCTACCTCCAGCAGACCTGTCCGTTCCCACTTGTTACTTAACACAGAATCTGGTAGAGGACTCACTTCCAACTGTCAGTATTTTTATTGGCAGCCAATAAAAAATGGGCACTTTTCTCCTACTAGTAAATGCCAGTGACAGGAAATAGTTGCCAGTTAAAAATATGGCGGTGACGCCCGGCTTGGAACTGGGCATGTGCAGTTCCAGTCCGGAGCTGTCTGAGTGCCAGCTACAGTGTGTTCAAGTGGCACCAGCGGGGGGGGGGGTCTGGGGTAGGCAGTGCCTGAGCGTGTCTTTATTTTTTAATTTTGTATTTAATGTAAATTTTATTTTTTTATTTTTATTTATTACAGGTACTTATAGAGCACCCAGGGACGGACTGAAAACTCATGGGGACCCTGGGCAATTGGGGATCATGGAGCCCCTGTGTCCTTGCCCAAACTCAAACACACCCAAAAAAGCCTATAAAAGGTACCAGGGGCATTTTATGGGGCCCCCTACTGACCCTGGGCCCTCAGGCAGTGCCCGAGTGCTGGAATGGTCAGTCCGCCCCTGAGAGCACCGTCAATTTATGCATCGCTTTACGTATATATTGTACATTCACATCAGTCCCTAACCCTCAAGGGACGTACAATCTAAAGTCCCTAACTCACATTGATACATACTAGGGCCAATTTAGGCAGGATCCAATTAACCTTTGAGCATGTCTTTGGAGTGTGGGAGGAAACTGGAAACTGGAGTACCCGGAGGAAACCCACGTAGGCACAGGGAGAACATGCAAACTCCAGGCATGTGGTGCCGTGGTTGTGATGTCTTGTGTTGTCATGGTGTAAGGGAGCCAAAATGGACCTGCTGGAGCCTTGTGTGCAGGTCTGCGAGATGGGAGCAAGGCAAGCCGTGCAAGACTGTCAGTGCTGTTTGGACTGGAGTGGACTGAAGGGACCACATGGAATAAAGAAAGACTGTCACTTTGACTCAGGAGGGGACATGAAAACTGCTGTCAGTGTCACTGTGAGAGTCAGTTTCATGTGTGTGTGCCTGCCCATTCTAATTTCTTGCCCTCCTGAGTCCTGTCCCTGAGCTACTTACTATATAGAAAATAAAATAGGAAAAATGTTTTCCCCTAATATCTACCTTAAATCACATTACTAATTGAATATTGTACTTGTTTGAAGCCTAAATACTGAAATTTGCACTTAAATTGGAATTTTCGTTTTGGAAATGCCAATAAAAATTTGGATGTGGCAGTAAAATTTGGGTGGCTTGTCAATGAATTTCTGGTAGGTTGGCAATCTGGTAGGTTAGCAACTCTACTCACTTCCTCCACCAGCTTCTGTGTGCTAGAACCGGCACCCAGGGCACATGATGCTCATTGGTTTCAGGTGGATGCTCTTGGTCCCAGCGCGGCAAGCACCCACATTTCTTTTAAATATGGGGCTTGGGGCGGTGGCCCTGTGTGCCATGTGCTCCTGAGTCCTGTACTCTGTGTATTTCACATTCCTGAACCTTGCGCCTTGTGCGATGCATAGTTCTGAGTCTCGACCACACCCATTATTTAGAGATGCTGTAATTATCTCCTCTGAGCGAGCGAGCCGTGGCAGGGTTGTGGACATAGTTGGGGCTGGGAGTTGGCCAGGGAGGGTGAGTTCCTGCACCTAGTCTCTGAGAATAAAATGCCCTGAGTATAGTATAATAAGTTACCTACCTCTTTAATAAACCATTGACAAAATGCCACTGAAATCCATTCCCGGGCATGTATTCCACAATCCATCCAAATAATTTTCTTTTTCTTATCAGATGGAAATCCAATCTGCAAATTCATAAAAAAAATGTAATCAGAGAACATTCCTTTTAGGACAAATAGTCATTTCATCATACTGTATTATAAATAATTGGGTTAATTGGGCAAGAATTTTGTTTACAGAAAATATATGTTTTCCATTTTACAGTCAGACCTACAATGATTTATTTTAGCTACCATAACTAATTTTTTCTTATCCAGGTATATAAACTTGTGAAAAGGCTAGGATCAATGCGGCCTCTTTAATACCAAAGAAAACCTTATGTGCAAGATGATGTTTGTAAAACAATGTTACTTTTGAGGAAGTCCATTCCACATTTTCACAGCTCTTACTGTGAGGAAACCTTTAAGTATTTGGAGATTACATTTCTTTTCCTCCAGACATAAAGAGTGCCCGCTTGTCATCTGTGATGACCTCAAGGTGAATAACTACACCGAGTTCACTATATGAACCACTGATGTATTTATACATGTTGATCATATCCCCCCTTTATATCCTCTTCTCAAAAGAGAATAAATTCAGTTCCTCTAATCTTTCCTCATAGCTGAGCTCCTCCATCCCTCTTATCAGTTTGGTTGCCCTTCTCTGTACTTTCTCCAGTTCTCCAATGTTCTTTTTGTGAATTGGTGCCCAAAATTGAACTGCATATTCCAGATGAGGTGTTACTAATGATTTGTACAGGGGTAATATGATATCGCTCTCTGGAGGCTATAGCTCTTTTAATACAAGAGAGGATTTTGTTCGCTTTAGAAACCGCAGTTTGGCATTACATGCCTTTAATGTCGGTGAGTGCATTTAAGCTCTGTTGCTCACATATGGTGGAGAGAATTTCCATTAGTTGTTGAAAGACACTTTTTCTGCGGTGATATTTATTACATAATTTGGGCTTTTTTTGCATTGGACTTTATTTACACTTATTTTTATTTTCATTTTTGAATATTGTGGATGCTTTTTGTACATTATGAATGTTGTGTTTAGCACATGCTTTAGGCTTGTAATATTCTAACAACTTTACCTATGGCAAACCTTTGATTCTAAACCTCTGAAATCAGCCCCTAAGTGCCCCTTCATACCTGTTCACTCTAGTGTTTTATATTGAGAGTTAAAGGATAAATTCAGCTTTTAGCAAAAATAAAAAATACACCTTTTTCTGCAGGTAAAAATGTGCATTTACTATGTTTTGCTTTAGGTGCCTGTTAAGCACTGTATCAGAGATCATCAGATCACTGGTGCCATGCAGATCTCCTGCAGACTTGTCAGTGTAATCAGTCTGCTTGTACCTCATAAGAGTAGACTGTTTTGCACAGACAGGAAGAATCAATGAACTACCACAGCATCGTGGTAGTTCATTGAGAACTACAAACCGACAGCCGCAAAGGCTGTTGGGACTTTTAGCTTTCCCATTCACAGAACACTGTTTTTTTTAAATTGTGACAGGTAGCAGGAAGAGAAGATCCCCCGCCACATCCCCATCACATTGGTGGGGGATCAGGGTCTGGTACAATTGTAACATGTTACAAAAGATGAACATGTTACAAAGGTGCAACTAAGGTATGTTGTGTAGGTCCAAAAATGAATGGCAAAACCATACACTAGTGTGCATACTGAAACTCATTAGTGTGAGGCCAGCGTAAAGGTCAGGTTCTATGTGAATTAACTGTCATTAATTACAGGACAAGCTGAAGTGTAATTCCAGTCACATTCTTACTAAGGCTAAATCTACTCCTACTCCCACTCTAAGACTATTCTATCTACCCTGTAAAAGAAAAGATGCCTATACTTACCTATTCTGAAACCGCTATGGTCCAATCACACGATCTCATAGTGCTGGCTTCATTGTAGAGGAGAGGCAGACACCACGGCTGCAGAGTCTGGGTGATGACATCAACCATTTTCGGCTGTCCCTCCTCTACACTGAAGCTGGTGATTGAAGCTAGTCATGTGCCGGCTTCAGAGTAGGTAAGTGTACACATCTTTTCTTTTAGAGGGTATATAGAGAGTGGGAGTGGATTTATCCTCAGTTAGGATTTGACTGGAATTACATCTTAAGTCACTGAGTGTGAAATATGGTAAAAAAAATAAGTAAAATGTGAACTGCACAATCACATTGCTAACCAGAATCAAAATATAGAGTACCAGTAATCATGAAACAGCAAGAATTAGGTAGCTGCATTAAAGCAATTTTCTTAGCACTTAAAGCGGAGTTCCAGCTGAAAAAAAAAAAAAAAGTTAGCAGCTACAAAAACTGTAGCTGCTGACTTTTAAAATACAGTCACTTACCTGTCCCTCGATCCAGCGGTGTCCTCACCATGGCTGGTTTCACTGGCCATCTTCTCTCCCTGGTGCCGGCATCTTCAGTGTGGGCACCCGGCTGTGACAGCTTTCGGCTTCACAGTCAGGTGCACACTGTGCATGCGTGAGAATTGCTGCACTTTGTGAATGGCCCCGTAGTCTTCTGGGACCTGTCACGTGTCCCAGAAGACTACGGGGAGGATCGCAGTGGAAGTGGAGCAGGTACCTGTCAAATTCAGGTACCTGCTTCCCACTGCTCTCCAAAGGTGCCAATCCTTAATGGGGAGCAGGGGACAAAGACTTAAAGCAGAACTTCCCTTTTGGGTGGAGCTCCGCTTTAAAGTGATTGTACAGGCAGATTGTGCTTTTCTTAAAAATAACAAACATGTCATACTTACCTGCTCTGTGCAGTGGTCTTGCAGAGAGCAGCCCCAATCCTCCTCTTCTTGGGTCCCCCACCAGTGCTACTGGCCCCTCCCTCCTGCCAAGTGCCCACACAGCAAGAAGCTTGCTATAGGGGAACCAGAGAAGGATCGCTCCTAAGCCACTGCTCTGTGTATCCATTCATGCAATGAGGCAGCTCCGCCCCACCCTTTGCTCTCTGGCTGTGATTGACAGTAGTGGGAGCCAAAGGCTCCTGCTGCTGTCTCAGCCAATGAAGAGGGAGAGACCCGAGACAGCCGGTAAGTATTAGTGGGGCAATTGCACAAATTTTTTACCTTCATGCATAGATGCATAGAATTTACAACCACTTTTAAGCTTCCATTCAGGCCTGGATGTGATTAATGGAGCTAGGACTAGTTCCAGGGCAAGCACATTACTGTATAAAACGTAGATATAGGTTGTACCCTGGAATTTGCTCAGTATTAGGGAGTCAGGCAATCGCAACCCCCAGCGCAGAATAAAAGCCTGCTGTGCTCAAAAATATTCATGTATAAAACTTACTTTAAAGTAGTAAATAGGCCTAATTTCATAGGTTGATCCCAAATAATTTAATGTAACTAGTTCTGGATGTGCTTGCTTGATTTGGTCAATCCACTCGTAAATCTGTAAAAGATAAACAATACTGTATAATTACGTACATAGCAAAGCGATGAACCGCTCCAGGTGAGTAAGTGATTAAAAACCCCTCTGACCATCAACAGGTGCTGGCCTGTTCCATGACCGTGGTAATATGTGAAGGCAAAAAGAGTTGACCACACTCCATAGATGTGACAGATAAAACTTCCATTTATTGATTCTTCATCAAGCACATCTCCCCCACGGTTTTGAAGATTTATTTTTTTTTCAATTACCTACTGTAATGCCTTTGAAATGTGTTGACCTTGGACCCTTTTTTCTTGGGTAATTTTTACAATAAAGCATTGTTGCCCAAATGCCAGGAGCATGAGAGGTGACTGATGTCATTTCTATAAGCCAAAGGAACAGAGTCACAAGACATTCTGCTAAGAACAAGATAAAAACATGTTTATGGGAATTTGAACTTGTTTATGACATCTAGAATGTCACATTAGAAGATAAAAACCTGTTTAAAAAAATGTCTACTTGCTTGAGAAGTTAGAAATCTTTAAGTCTAGGGTAGATAAGAAGCTGATCTGGAGTGTGACATTTCAGATAAAGATATGGAAATCAATATGTTGGTTGAGCATGACTCTGTTGTCCTCGAGGAACTCTTCTGCTAGCTCCTCCAGTGGTGGGTGTGGCGCCCGCCCACTATTGGACAGCTGCTAGGAAAATAGTTTAAAAGCTGGGAGTTTAAGCAGGATCGATTAGGAAGCCCCCCTAGTTGCCAAGGGACGCTCTGGCGCTGGTGCTCTTACCAAGGCTATATGGGCTCATCAATCGGTCATGCTTACGGCTTCCCCGTGACTCCCCGGGCAGTATGGTTCTGATGGGATTTGTTCCTTCCAACATAGCTTTGGTAATGTATTAACTCTATGCTGTGATGCTGTTAAATGATGTGTTTATTTCATGCTGTAATGCTAACATTATTATTGATGTGTGTTATTATGCAGATTGTGATGACTACAAGATATATCCTCCTGTGTGTTGTGTGATAATAAAAGTGGAGGTTTTGACAGTGCAAGAATATTGCAGTTGTATTCTGTTATTTCTTGGAGTGCTGAATGAATGCTATGATGTGCCAGGGCAGGCATTCATTGGGTAGAGGGTCTTTCACATGTGTAGAATATGTAATGGTGTAAATGCTGATTAAAAAGTACCTGTGTGTGACTACCTGTTGATTGCGTGCATGTACAGGTGAAACTCGAAAAATTAGAATATCGTGCAAAAGTTCATTTATTTCAGTAATGCAACTTAAAAGGTGAAACTAATATATGAGATAGACTCATTAAATACAAAGCAAGATAGTTCAAGCCATGATTTGTCATAATTGTGATGATTATGGCTTACAGCTCATGAAAACCCCAAATCCACAATCTCAGAAAATTAGAATATTACATGCAATCAATAAAACAAGGATTGTACATAGAACAATATCAGACCTCTGAAAAGTATAAGCATGCATATGTATTCAGTACTTGGTTTGGGCCCCTTTTGCAGCAATTACTGCCTCAATGTGGCGTGGCATGGAAGCTATCCGCTTGTGGCACTGCTGAGGTATTATGGAAGACCAGGATGCTTCAATAGCAGCCTTCAGCT